CCGGGAGCACAGATGGCCCGAAAGTCGCATACCTCAGAGGATCAGCAAATCTTGGCCGGGACGTCACGGGCAGCGAGGGCGCGCGCGCGTGGACGGAGGGAGAAGCGGGCGGGGAGAAGCGGGAAAGCGCGCGTGTGGCTGGGGGGGGAGGGAGGGAGGGGATGTGTTGGGCGGCGTGGTAGGTGTTGATGTGGGGGGTGGAGGATATCAACAGGGGGAAGGGAGCAGCAGGAAGGGGGGGGGGGGAGGGTGGCGCGTGGCTCACGGGCTTCAGGGATGAGTGGGTACCCTGGCCCATGTGTCTTCAAGGTGGGCGGAGAAGAGCCGGCCGGTATGGCCTCCCCGCGCCCGGCCTGTGGGCCGGGGGGAAGCCGCGCCGAGCAAGGGGCAGATCTCCGGCCGGCGCCGGCGGCGAGACGCCCGGCGCGAGGTCCAGCGCTGCCTTCTTCCTTAATTGATGGTCTACCAGGTGGGGGAGGCCTCCACGTAGGGCGAGCCGGCAGGGGAAGAAGGAGGCAAAGGCAGGGCGCGTGAGCGAACGAGAGTGAGAGCGAGCGACCGGGAGAATGGAACACGGACAAAAAACGACGCACAACACCAACAACCCACCGCGACCACTAAATAGAAAGAAGCCCATCACCCAGGAGAATGTGCCTTCCCCCGGGCTGGGGGGAGAACACAACACGCGCGGCGGGCAACGGGCTGGCTGCCGCCCGGCCCTCGTGCGAGGGCATGAGCCAGGGTGGGAACGCGGCAGAGAGCGCCGGATCGTCTCGGGCGCCCGATGGGCTGAGTGCCGCCAAGAGGGGGGGGACACAAGCGGGCAGCCATTGGCTGGCCCCGCTCCCAGCCGCCCGCCCGCGCCACAGGCCCGCGCCCGCTAGTTTGGGTCTAGCGGGGAGAAAGAACACCCCCCCCCCCCCCCTGCCCCGCGCCCCTGGCCTTGGAGGCCGGGACAATAATACATCCCGGGCGACCCTGCCGCCGGGGGAGGCGAGGGACGGGGAATGCACGCGGCAGTGGTAAAAGCAACAGCAGCGGCGGGGCAGGCCACGCCGGCTCTGTCCCGGCCGCCGGGGGGGGCGGGGGGGGGGGCCGGGGAGCATCTGGCCGGCCGGCCGGTTAGCCGAGGAGGACAATAATATACTGGCCTGGGTCGGGTTTCCCCAGCCCGGCGTGCAAGCCGCGGAGGGCGCGTGGGCTGGGGGCCGGCACCCTGGGCGTGCGCCCCCAAGCGGCGAGCGAGGCCTGGCCGCCCCCACCCCGGCCCCCGCAGCCAGGGGGAAGACTCACTGGCACACAGGGGGGGGGGGGGGGGGGGCGCGTGTGCAGCCAAAGAACCCATCCAGCAAGGGCCGCCCCAAGGAAGGCAGAGCCGCGAAGCGGCGGAGCTGTGTTCCAGGCCCGACGAAGGGGGAAGGGCCACCGCGCAGCAGGTCCGGAGAACCAGGAGCCCAGCGCGGATCGCCCTCCGACCTGGAACGGAAGCGCGGACGGGGCGCGGAGAAGGGGGGCGGGGCACACTGCGGCCGGTGGGTGCGGCCGGCAGTTACTTTTGGCGACTGTACCCCCGGGGGAAGAAGCCTGCACACACACACGCACACACGCGCGGACACATGCCTAGAAAAAAACATGCATAAACACTCCGACCATTCCGGTCAGAGACCTACCAGAGACCACACATACCCGGCCCCTCCTCCTACTGTGTCTGGGAGGGAGGGGGGTGGAGAGCCTGGGGTCAATCAGGCCGTTACACGCGACGCCGGGGGAGGTGTGCCCGCAAGTGGCGCGGCGGCGAGCATGTGGTCCGTCAGAAAACAGGGACGAGGCGGGGATCACTCGGGCAGCCGTGCCAGGGGGGGGGGGGGCCGGGCGGGGCGACGCACAGGTCAGGCGCGTTCCCCGCCAGTTGGCGGCCAGCGGCGGGGGCCGGGAGGGCTGAAACACCCGAACACTGACTGGTCTTCGGGGCTGGGACAATGCGAGCGGGCCGAGGGCTGGCGGAACAAAAAAGCCAAAATCCCTCGCAGCACCATGTCGCCGAGACCCCTGCCGCCATGTGGGGCCGGGTCCGTCTGTCGGCGAGAAGCGAGCTGCGCGCGCACACACACACACACACCCGGGAACAAGAGGCCCCCCCCCCCCCGGGCACCGTCCCACTCGGAGGTCTCTGGCCGTGGTGGATGTTTACCCGGGGCGACATGCGCCGGGCGGGGAGGGCGGCGGCCGGGCCTCTGGAAGACCGGACTTCTTGCGGGCGGGCCTGCATTATCATGTTTTTTTATAATCCCCCGAATATTGAGAAGACACACGGCGACCTCGCCACCACCAGACCCGCCGCATGATTTGCATATGTCCGATAGACAGGCGGGGCGAGGACGTCTGCGCGCGCGCGCGCGCGCGCGCTGGCCCTCCCCCGCCAACCGTAAACAATAGCTGGCCTGGTTCCCCTCCAGGGCGGGGGCGGCCCGGGGGACCGAGCCGGCGGGAGGGAATCAGTTGGACCCCTGCGTCGGCATGTTGGGCCAGGATGTTGGCCGATCTGTCACATCGTCGCGGAGCCGGCGGCCGGGGGGGGGGTAGTTCATCATTCCGGGCCCGGTCGCCGGGCGGCTGCCTCCTTTGGCACCGGGGTTGTTCCTCGGGCCCGTGGCCGCAGGGCGGACGCCACTTTTGTGCCTGTTCGGTCTGAAGGGGGCCTGGAGTCCCCCCCCGGGGGGGGCTGGCCGGGCCGGCTGCCGCAGCAGCCGGCGCGGGAGGCCATTTTTCTCTGGGCGGCCGGCGGGCGATCGACCGGGAGACGCCCCCACCCCGCGGCGCCGTACATATGAGAGTGCTCGTGTGCGCCCGGGCCGAATGGGCCGGCGTGAGCACCGGCGGCCGGCATCTGAGCGCGTGCCAGACAGCATGTGTTTGCTGCGGCGCGGGTGACGCGGGCTTCGCCCCCTGCAGCTGGGGGGGGGGGGGGG